ATTTCAGAACCACAACCACACAGAGAAGTATACTGGACTGGATGGTGCCTACTGTTAGTTGCTGTGCTGTAACCACAGAATTGCAAGTAAATACCTTAAACCCACCTTGGCTGTGACCCCAGTGCTCTGACCGGCACTCTTCTGAGAACACTACCTCATCCGGAACCACGATTTCATTAGTCCACCTAATCCTCCCCCACACCTAACATACAAATAATGCAGATAATACCAAACAGACAAGGTACAAATACTGTACATATGGTGCAAGCAAAGTAAACATACTGCAGCAGATTTTAAAAAGTACATATATAGTGTACAAATGGATGTAAAATCTTAAGGAGCAGAATGTGAGACTAAACGTGAATATTTAAAGATGAGAATAATAATCATCTGCAAATAAATTACGTGAACTTAGAACACAAGGTACCGGATTGTATTATAACAAGAGAGGACGCTTCCTGACGTATTATGGCTATGGATGGAGAGTGTAACGTCTGGAGAAAGTGTGATGTCGGTCACCAGTGGCCTGACGGCTTCGGGCAGCGATAATCCCCAGTAGCATTTTTAAGCACAGCATGGTGGAAGGAACTGGTGGCTAAAGGCTCCATTATAGAGGCCACGGAAGTGGACGTGCCGACTTGTTCATAATATTGCTAACATCCTCTTCTCTGCTTCTGATATTAGTGCAAGAGAGGTTTCGCGACCAGACTATACAGAGAGATATTAATAATCTAACGTTTTTATGATTCGTAATAGTTGAATTATGGTTGGCAAAAAGTTATCACACGCTAATTGCAGATATAGGATACTTATGACAGAATATAAAAATTATTAAAAAGAAATTACATTGTATTATACGGTGGCCGAGAAGGGCAAATCAAATTAGCATTGCATAAAACAAATTAACATTTCATTAAACAATTCAAAAATGACATTCGTAAAGCAATCTGGGAAAAAACCCTTATGAAAATTAACCATGGTTTACAATGGTTTGCCGTTTTTCATGTTTTTTTTTTTTTGTAACTATGGAAACCATGACTATGGTTTTATCATGGTTTCGCTACAGTTAAACCCTATACTATAATCTTGGTCATAAACCATGGTTTTTGTTTTACCACGGTAGTACTTTCTGTAGTACCAAAGTACCATGAGGTACCATATAGTAAAACTATGGTTACTGCATAAAAACCATAGGAAACCATGGTGAATTTTCATAAGGGAAAGGGGTGTGCAACAATCGCTTTGAGCCCAAAATGCTAAACCACCATGTCATTACAGCTGAAAGGACCTATTATATTAGCTATCAACACGATTTTGCAGAAATCACAAAATGGTTTGAAGCGCAAAAAAATCGGTGTGCATCGTTGTCTGTGTACTGGACATTACAATTCTGTCATTACAAATGCCCCACCTTCCGTTAAAAGTTATTAAAGCCAGAAAATTGAATATCGAATATGAGGCTAACTTAACCGCGGTGACGTTTCCTACAGGAAACACAAAAGCGAGCCAGTTCGCTGTAATAATTCCCATAAAACGGAGAAAACATCACGTCTCACGCTCCGTTTACTTCACCCGGCGAAACTATTTGCCTGCCACGGGACACACTTCCTCTGTATGGTACCTACCCTTTCCCTGTGATTCTCCGCTTGTAAATTTTTGTCAGTGATTGGTAAAAATGTTTTGCTTTTACTAGACATGTTTTCACTTTTGTAAATTGGTTTTGGGACTGGTAAAAGTGCTTTGCATATTGTAAATTAGTTTTTATTTTTGCAATAAATAATTGTTTTATGATATGATAATTTGTTTTATGCTATGTTAATTTGATTTGCCCTATTCGGCCACCGTAGCATTATGCACACTTTTGACAGTTCGAACTTCGTGACATTCGAAACTTGCCGCAATAGGTATTGCCGTATTTGCTATAGCTTCAGTTCCGGGTTTTTGCCAGCAGGCTGTGCACAGCTAGTGTTTCTAAACTTTTCGAATCGTTTGGAATGTTTCAAAATTGTTTTGATGATTCGAAATTGCCATCTCTACATATTGGTCCGCCACCCTCAGAGGGGCTAATCTTACTGCCATAATTGTTGTACTGCATGAAGTGACTGCCATCCTCCCCCAGAAGTACCCCCAGCTGATAGAGCAGAAGTGGTTTCCAGTTCTTTAACAAGTTTAGCATTCTCCACTTGCAACTGCTGTACCATCTCACTTAATGCCTTAGGTTGGGCTGCCATATCGTCATCTGCGATTATCACCACCCCAGAGCCCAAGTAAAAAAACAACAACACATAGCTAAAAAAACCAGGCTATGCAGGAGGCTGGCAGTCTTCTGGGTTGACCACGAAGGTTGGCAGCTCCAGTCTGCAGCCACTAAACACTTCTGCTGAAAAGCCACAAAAAGCATGCACCTGTCACGGATCCGGGCGGATTTGGCGCAAGGACATGGCATAATACAGGCAGAAAAAGGTGGACGATCCATTTACGGCTTCACGAAACAATGGTTTACTGAAATAAAAACTGAAAACACTACGAAAACAAAAACAGACCTCAAGGAGTCAGAACTAAAGGGATAAGCAAAAACTAATTTACAGTAACAGGTGCAGGCTACAAACAACAGAACATTCAAAACTACACTGCCATCCAACAATCAACAAACAATGAACCACTAGGGACTAAACTCAGGAAGAAACGTAAATACAAAAACTGAACAGGGTAATGACAAGCAGGAGTGAGACAGATAATTAACCAATTGGGGAGGGTGCAGGACAACGAGCAATCAGGGGAACACACAAGGGCAGGCAACAGGTGAAGATAATAAACTAAAACATGAAACTCAAACTAGAAACAGAATCTAACAATAGGGAAAACTGAGCAGGGGAAAACAAAGACTGTGAACAAGAGGGACGGGATGACCAGCAACGCCTGCTGGCCAAATGGGGAAGTGACACAGTGGAACAGGAGCTGACTCTGACAGGGCCATACCCTCTTGTGACACTTAAAGGTTAACTTAGCACAAGAAATTAGCAAAAAAAAGTATAAAAAGATACCACATTCTCTCCTTTACAAGTGCTAATACATAATTGTGAATGTCACGACAACCAGGATGACTCGAGGGCTCACATTTGGCAAAACAAAAGGAGTTTTATTAAACTTAATTAAACAGACACTGGATATAAACAAGTTTGTGAGAGATCAAAACAAAAGGAATGGGGATGGACACAGGCTGACTGAAGGAGCTAAATTAATAAACGGACTAGCGAGTGGGGCGACAAGCATCAGGCCTGGCCCATCAGCGTAACATGCGGGAGAAGACCGGAGGGACAGGCAGACGTGGCAGGCAGGACGTGACAGTGAACATCCTTTACTAGAAGAAGAATAATGTAAAAACCCGTGAGTGGAATAAATCGTTTCATGCATGCGGTGTCCATGGTAACCAGCGTGTCTGTTTGCGGGGGGAAGAATAATGAGTGATACATATAAGCATATATAATATACCGACGCGTTACGCTGACTAGCTCATGACACACAGTATGACAAAAGGGTAATTTAGGAACGTAATTTAGAAACTTAATTTACAGTTACACTATGCAGAGAAATCACAATTTTATAAAACAGAGAGCGGCACACCCCCATCTCCCGAATAAACGCCCCCACTGCGCTACCTGCGGTCTGCTGCTTTACACACAACCTCCCAGCATTACTAACTTTGTTATAATAACAACAGAATCAGCAAAGATTCTAAAAAAAATACTGTGGGTGAGTGTCCTGGCTAGGGCAGAACAGCTTCATGAGTTTTCTCTGTTTTTGGGTCTTGTTGAAAGTCACTTAGTTATAAAACTACAATTAATTTGCCTTAACTGGGGAATATTACAATACTTTAGTTTTGGACCTTAGTTTTATTTTTGCTTCTTAATTCGTCTTTTGTGCTAATTCGATATTGCACGTGCGTATAGCTAGTTGAAAAAATAGCATCGGCACTAGCTCATATATATTAAATGCAGTTAATCTGCCTCATAAATCCAGCCTTTCATAGCTGCATGTGTAACACAAGGCGGCGGTGAGTAGAACGGGACTGCGTCTTACCGAGAAAACAACTCGTTTCTCCTTCTAGTGGGTATATATCTCATTCAATTTCTCATTTGCACGCATAGCTAATTTTATTGGTTTCTGTGACTAGTTGCATGTTCGAGGTCAGGAAAACGTCTACAAAACCCCCTTCCTATTTGTTTTAAGCATTTCACTTCACGTTCACATCTTAAGCGCTATATAACGGATCTTTAAAATATAAACTTAATGAAAATGTGCAGTACTCATTGCACCGTTTCGTTTGACAGCGGAAAAATTAAACGAAGCGCACTCTTCCTAACATTAACAGATGGATATAGACCTGGATGTAGTTTTAAAATCCAGAAATTAATGACAATTATTGAACAACAGAATGAAGCTGGATGGTGCGTATCTGGTTCGCTGGGAGTAGTTGACACTATTTTTGTCCATCTCTCCACCTCGGCAAGGAAAAATAGGGTTGGAAGTGATCGCACGTAGGAAGGCATTTTGCATTTCACACGGCAGCCGCCTTTCGACCAGCACAGACCTATGCAAACATAATCGCGACAAGAAAAGAAAACGCGAAGTGAAAACTCAAAATACTCTATGCCAACCATTTGCATTATATAAGAAGACGTGCATGCGACCATTTTTTGAGGACTATTAAAAAATGCTGATGTTCCAAGCCGCAGCGGTTGTGCTAATGGAAGATAAGCACCAGAACTAATATTTGACCATCTTGGTGAGCGTTTGCATGATTTCTAGTATTTCTAAGGGAATAAATCTAGATAGAAAATGTATACCCAGTCCACGCCTTGGGTGTGGTGTTGCTGTTAATAAAAATAAAGGAGCGGTGGAGTATTTGAATACAGACTGTGCACCATGATATTAGGGCTTAAATTTGAATATGATATGCAGATATTTGTAAAGGCTGCACTTTTTATTACTATAAATAGTTTTGAAAATCTCATTGTGGAATATAAGCGCGCAGCTTATTTGAGATGCATTGAAATTTATCGACATGCATGGTTATATTAACAACTTTGGGATAACCTACAACCATAACTATATGAACAATTGAACTATAACAACTGGAAAATGAATAGATAAATTTGCCATTATGTTTAATAAATATACTACTGATTATAATAGTGTAATCAATGTTGTTAATTGCTGCTACTCATATCAGTCTTTACTTTTCGGTGTTGGTTTTTTGTCAAGGGCAGGCGATCAAATAATATGTATAGTTTCTCATCCGCTGCTACATCTGGGGTGGTACGTAATGGAGTCGTGATACATACACAGAGTCGGCCGTGGGCTTAGATGCCATCTGTGTTAAAAATTACGGCAATAAATGAGTGTTGGGAGACATGCAGCCTCTTAATTATGTGTGAAGCGGAGTTAGGTCGATAACACGCTAAAAATTCATACACTACAAACACCACTGTAGTTTTTTTTTTAGCCCAGGAATTCAGGTAATTTAAAATATAATATTATCAGGTTGCTCCATTTAATCATTACGGACTTCTGTGCCAGACAACAACGTAATTATAAAACAATTATGTTGTATAAACAGAAGGAGCTGCTTCTGTTAAGAGCGCCTATTACTTTCCGTTCAGTTACCTCCGATTAAATGCCGTGGAGAATTGCGGTCACACCGTTAACCGCCTGCCATCGTTCCCATGCCTCGCTTTCTGTGACCCTTGGCGAAGCCTAAGCTTTTTCAGCTCTCCAAGGACAGAAGGGTAGTACGGATCAGGTCGGCCCCTGGGTCGCTGCAGCAAACAGGAGCACCGTACGTGGTCATTTGTCCCTGACCCGTACATGTATCTAATCGGTATTGCTTTATTACAATGCTAAAATGAAAGGATGGGTAAAACAAATCTCGACTAAAGAACTCGAAATGTACGATAACTTTTTGGTTAACTGGCAGGTGTCGAAGACAGAAATTGTGACGAGGTGCCGGAAAAGGTTCAGGCAAAGAGGACAGGAACAAAGCCAGCAGTGCCTGAATAACGACCCATATTCAGGTATGCGGGGGCTCATCTGACCCATTTATGCTGGTCTGCGTTTTGGGTTATAACAGTCTTGGGAGGTTTGATGGTGCCGTACCTTGTAATTACGATACTTCAGGCAGGTTCAACGTGTTAATTCAGTGAATCGCAAAGTGATTTTAATATTGAATTTTATTATTAATTAGGAACGGCGGTTAAAAGCAATCTGTCCAGCTTGAGCTGGTTGGCACTGTTATCTGCTCCTGCTCCTTCCGCCTTTAGCTAAACTGCTCACTTGCCTTATATGGCACTGCAGTTGCTGTATCTCTGGGGATTTAACCTAGATGTTATCTTTTATAAGGGGAAAGCTTACTGTTCATTTGCTGTGGCATTTTATCTTCAAGGATTTCAGGCTGCATTATTTTTTTTTCAGTTAGGTTTGGGCAGCCTGCTTGTACCAGAATGGGCTACATGACTTCGATTCACTGTCCCAGCCAGGTTGTGGATTCAAGATTCAAGAAGGGACTATTGCAGAATGGAAGACGGAAAACTTTGGCCAGGTAGCGGTGTTTATATGCCGCCGCAGGTGAATTACACAAAAACCCAACCTGTGTCAGGTTTTCATGATGACACAATATTAAGTGAAGATGCATATTTAATTATGTGAAATGACACCCCAAAAGTGATGCATTTATTGGCCATAATCAGAGAGGGGATCTTGAGGACCAAAGGCGAGCAGGTCTGTGTTGTCTGAGATGGGGTTTCCCACAGTTGACCTGAGCCCTTCAGGTAACGGTCCTGTATGTGTCCTCTAGACGGGGACAGCGGGGGGGTCGCGAGAAGCTGTGCTCCACGTCCTGCTGCTCTCTTACTATCTCTCTCCAGATGAGCTGAAGAGCACGGCGGAGAATGGAGGAAGCCGCTGCATCCTGAAACTCCGTCGTGTCCCTTGGAGAAGTTTCTGCCCATGTGCTTGACTCTTCACGAGCAGGTAGGGGGCGCTGGTTCCTAATTGCGGCGATGCCAGAAATCTGAGTTTATGTACAGTATAATCTCAGCCATTTACATCAACTGTAAAGAGCCCTGCAATAAAACAGACCCTTGGAGGTTCACAGCTTTCACTCGTTATGAGTGACAAGCTATTGTAAACTATATAAATAACAACTATGTTTACAACTAGCTAAAATTCTGTGGAATATGTCGAAAATGTTGCTCTTTGAATCAAACTGCCTCTGGTAGTAACAGGGGTTTTTATCACCCAATGGGACAGAAGAAGGTGAGGAAGGGCAGCTCTACTCATCACTCATATTACTGCCACTAATGAAACTCTGTGTGTAGAAGCGAACCAATTACCTGCCTCTGAAATACTGTCAGCGTGTAATTGGGGGTGAAGCATGTCATTAGCCTTCTCCGAGCATGGCCCTACTTTTTATGGTGCTTATATATTTAAGAAGCCATTAAGCATGGAAGCACTTATGTCTGGTGTACATCTTTTCTTTTTTTCCTCTTAGGGCGAGGAATCACCTTCACGGTCAGCAGGATTTTTTGATCGACCACTGGGATGATGTGGGGGACAGGTCGATGGGGGGGGGGGGTTTCAGCAGATGTCAGAAATTATAAACAAAAGCCCAGGCTCACTTCTCACCATTCGACACAATCAACACTGACGTGCTTTAACAGCCCCGCTTGGGGTGTGGAACAAAGAGCTGGCAGTCGCGGGCTGTCCTGAGGGACGCGCGCTTCTGTGAATGTCTGATGCGCTGACTTTGCAGTCCTTCTGTGAAAGTAGTTCCGGCCGTTTTTTTCCAGGGGGTGTGGCCATTGTCTGAAGAGAAAGACCTAGTGACATTGGAGGAAGGACTGGCCCAGTTACACACACTGCACCCAAGTTTAGTGAAACCTAACAGCACTCCATCAGGACAGCGTTTACAGATTGGCTTTATTATACCCAACAGTGCTGTAGTGCAGCAAGGTTTAGGGAAAATAGGTTTAGTAACTTAACTACCCTGAAATGTAGCATTTCTGTATCTTAAAAGGTACATTTACCTACAGCTAGGGTACATTTGGCAGATCCTCGAGGGTACAGCCCCAGTGACAAGCAAAGGTACAAATTGGTTCTCTTTTTTTCTCACACTACAACATTTTATCCGGCTCAGGTAACAAAAGCTTTGATCATGCAAAAGTGAAAATGTCCTTGGTGATTTGACTACGCCTTAGTATAACTAAAATTTAGGACTTTACAGGCAGGAAAAAAAACTATGTATACTATTATTTTAAGGATGCTCATCTTTCTAAAGCTGTTGGCAATTCCTCCATCCCGCCTGTTTCTCTTCTATATTTGAAAATTTGATGAAGCCCTTTCCAGTGGCTATACGTAATGAGTGGGCATGGTTTCTATTCCGGCATGTAGCATACTCACAACATTCCTGTAATGTTGCACCAACATCCCAGCTAAAAGTTTCCAGTTATGAGAACATTCTTGGAATGTTTAGGTTATGTTAATGGAATAATAGGTTTACCTGCTGATCACCTTGTTTGTATATTTCTGCTGTAGGTCACAGTAATTTAGCTACTGATCAGGGAGGAGATGGGGACCAGTGATGCTGATTCATTTCACAGCAATATTTTTAGTGCAACTTTAGCAAAACATTCCAAGAAAATATAATGTGAAAGATGAGTGTTAAGCCTCTGGAGGTGCTTGTTCCTGCTGGGGCTGCACTACAGCAATGTTCCCGCATCTCGTTAGCGGTACTCGTGTGACCGTGTCCGTATTCTCTTTGTCTTGTGTAACGTGCATGTAGGAACTTCCCTGGGAAAACTTGGAAGCTGCAGTTGGGGATTGTATCACTAACACCTGCAAGTGAATCTGATTACTAACCTCTACTAACTGAAATTAACCAACCCAGCTAAAACCGTTGCAAGTTCCTTAGAGAAATATTTCTCCATCCATCTCCAGTATGGTCATGTTTCTCCTCTGTCACCTGTTTCTTCAATTCTTTGTATATTTTTTTGGTTGTGAGGGCTAGAGGTAGAGTGTGGTATGTGTGTGTGTGTGTCTACTGTGCAACATCAGTTCCACGTAAGATATGTAAAGCATGAGAGTATCAGATATAGGTCTGAAGTCTGGTTATGTGATGTTAGTGAGGTAATGCAGACTGATGGCACCTATCATGTCTTTATTTGCTTGTCTTCTATGGGATGCCTGCCGCCGGAACTGTAAGTTGCCGTCAGGTGTCAGCAGGTGCTTGTCCTTTAAGCCCTGTCCTCCTTCTGGCTGCGCCATTGAACTGTCTTCTTGCATATTGCCCTCTGCCCCATCTCCCATCACAGCGTATGCTGGCTCTCCTGTGGCAGCACAAATTCCATTCAGGTGCCTCGACACAGTCCCCACCTTTGCCGCCACGTCAGCCTTTAAATGTCCCTTCTCTGCCCACCCCTGTCCCCCCCCAGCGGCTCACTCTTTCTACACTGTTATCTATGAGACGTCTGCCATATCAAACTGAAATCCCATCACGAAGGGCGTAGGGAGGGCAGCGTTGCAGGGATCCAGCCTGCAGAGGGCTGGTTGTAACAGCACCTTCCGTACCCTGAACATCATACAAATACTGTTTTATCATTCTGCTCCTTTGGAAAAAATCACTGAGAGAGTTTATGTTTGAAGCTTGAAGTTAGAATATTATTTGTCATACTATCACATCAGAATATTGTCTATACTGATGTGATAGTATGACATCTAAGTCAATTTTGCATACAGTAATATATGATTCAGAGAGAGAAAAATGTTGAATAGAATGATGAAGGACCAGATGTATTTTGAATTTTAAATTTGTTAATCTTGTAAACATAATAATTTATCATTTTATACAAGACATCGATCTGGTGTTTAAATAGTATTTTGCTTAGCAAACGTTTTTATGTTGCCCATTGCAGGAAAAGTTATTGAGCGAAAGAGTGGAATTAACACATTTGTGCCTGGCTGGTGTGTGCAGCAGAGCACAGACACCTTTCTCTGGTGGCTGGCGTGCGCAGCAGAGCACAGGCACCTTTCTCTGGTGGCTGGCGT